AAATCTTATTAGATTTGTAATATGTACATGTTTTCAGTGATATCATCTTTGATAGCAGAAAATTAACTAGGCATATAATTCTTTTCTTTCTCCCTTTTTTTTTTGCCATATTTTTCAAGTAGCCTATATTTGACAACATCATAATAAGACTGGAAATTCTGTTTTCGGTTTGCCACCCTAATATTTTTAGTGGCCCCCATACGGCCACCCCTATGTAAAAATTCTGGAGGCACCCCTGGTGATTACACCTTACAAACCAGTAAGGTGTAGGTTGTTTGGGTGTGACAGGGCTGAATATAGACAACAGTGATGTAAACTGGGGTCAGATCCTCAGGTTCAGGTCTTTGGCTCAAGTCTTCATTCGCCACACAACTGCCATGGTAACTGAGACCCTGTTCACCCAGCATGCCATGTTTTTAGGGTCCTACACAGTTTTCTGTACTTGAATATGCAGTATTATATGAAAAGTCTAACTGTTTAGCAAAGTAATGAAAGAAGTATTTAAATCATTTACCTATGTAAAATAAGCAATACTCACATATTCACAGCAACCATCACCTCAAGGTGTTTATACTGCAAAGCACAGACCCTACATTATTTGCGAGAAAAATGCCAACAGCCAGATTCCCCATGAGCAAGTGCTTGGAGATGGTGGGAAAGAAAAACTCAATTTTAACAAGAAGAGACATACAGAAGAAATGCTCAGGGCATCACAGTGGAAGTAAAGTAGCAGTCTTGAGCATGTGGCAGCATGATTAAGGGATAGTTCAGGGTCACATGACCCAGCCCTAATGAGAAACGATAAAACAATAAAGTTTCGTTCCAGTAAAATAAACTTGTGGACAAATGATGGAAAAATAGATCCGCATATATCTGGGAATTTTTGAAATTGGAAAATATTGTTCTGTAAAGACAGAGTTAACTGATATTAGGCCATAAATGACCAAAGAGATGATACCATATGTGGGGGGTGTAGACTTAGGTGTGGAAGCTGGGTGGGGCTACTGCTCAGCTGCAGGAGGAGAGGTGGAGCAGTTGATTAAGGGACCAGCGATAGTGAGGTTCAAGAACAATAGAGCAAATGTCTGTAAAAGCAAGAAATTACTGTTCCATCAATATAAAGAAAAACAGTAAATTGAGGATATGGATCAGTTACCAAAGTTTCGGTACAGGTCTGCTATGTCATGGTGATTTCTAGCCCTGGTTGCTATGGGTCCTATGTTGCCTGAGGAGTTTTATCTGTGTATGTTTGCATGTAGTAGAGTGGAGCCTTCATTTCAGATCCAAAAAATTAAAAAAAAACAAAACAATGGGAGGCAGCAACTCAAAGGCTTTGTCACATTGACAACACTAAAATCTATATGAATCTCTTCAGTCATTCAGCAGAATGACGTGTAATTGCTGTGCAGTGTGTGTTTTTCGGCAATTAGTTGCTAAATTTAAGAGCACCCTCACTGAAAAGTTGACAAAACCTCAAATCACAGGAAGAAAAAGAAAATGTCAGGCGCTACCACTACCTTGGGCTTTCCATTATTGTCTTTACAAAAGAACCTGACCATAAAATAAACCCACCAGACATGGAGTTGGAGACTGAGACGGTATTCTCCTGGAGACAATTCTCTGGGTTTCTCAAGCCTTTAATTAACTGCCCTGTGCTCTTCAAATACCTGGTCTTCTATCTTGTCTCACTTTCCCATGCTACATTTATGCCACTGATCCCACATGCCTAGCTTATCTGATTGGCTTGTCGAGAGGAGTTGCCTGAGACTGAGACTCAACAGTGTGGGAGGCACAACCAGAGGCCTGCTTCTCTCTTACCTTAACTCAGGAGATGCAGAAAGTATTTGGCTAACCTTTCTATGAAAAACATGTGACTAAACTCCATCTCACTCTCTGCCAGGGCAAAATTAGTGGCTGAAATGACAAAGTCTTCAAAGCCAACTATATGATTGACTGCTGCTTGTTTCCTTGCCTTACCCATACTCCCCTCAGTGAATCAGAATCTTGGTCAATCACATCTTCATCTTTCATGGGATTCCATCATATTCTGTCTCTATAAAATGCATATTTCATCTCATAAGTCTGGAAGATGTTGCATTTAGCCCTATGAGCCTCATACTGTACGTTCTCTGTTCTGGTTACCATCCTCATTCCTAAAGCTAACCAGGAGATGAGGACTGCCCTCTGACAATCCTTCCACCTGGAGTTCTCAGCTGCCCTGCCAATCTAATGTCTCCTTAAGTATTTCTCCTTTCTTGGCTATCAATCTCCCTCTACAGGGGTAAGAATTAGCTGTTGCATCAGCTAAACCTGCAGACATACACGAGCACAGGAAATGAGCCTGCACTGCCCCCCTCATCTCCTCAAGATCCAGAATCAAGCTAACTGCTGTTATATGCCTGTCCCCAGTTACAGACCAAAAGGTGCACATTCAAAAAGGACCAAAAGAGACAATCAGTGCTCTCTTAGTTGTCCTTGTATTTTTATTTTTTTTTAGGTCCTGTGATATGAAATCTGAGTTGTCCCTTGGAATTCACCCCAACAATTCCCACATCCGTATAGTTTGTGTGTCCTTGTGAAGCAGAGCCACAGGAGGTGGACAGGAGGTGGCGGAGGCCATCAGCTTCTGCTGGGCTGCAACTTCTGCAGCCACAGCCATAAGTCTCTACCTCAGCAGACTGCCAGATTGTGTTTTACCACACTAATATCTTTTTAATTTATTCCTACTCATCAGCTCTTCTCTCTGAGCTCTGCTGCCCAGCCTTTCCTGCCCGATTATACTCTCTCCCCTGCCTGCAAAGTTTAAAAGAAAGAGATGAAATTATTACTTTTTTATATGTAAACAAAAGGCAACACATTTATTTAGTCACAAGCAAAACCAAAACTGCACAAATATTTTAGGTTAGTCTAGATCTCCATGGCAATCCTCTGGCAAACCAGCCCAGACTAACACAAGAGTCAACGAGGCCAAACAACCAGTGGAATGTTAATTCTGAGGGCGGCAGAGCAGACTTGTCATTATGAACTGAAGACAAAGCACACACAGGGAGAAATATATTTATATAATTTTCACTGTGTACAGATTACCATATAACATTTATTAAACACAAAAATTGCATGGATATGAAATCTGACTACATATTTACTCAATATATACAACTCAGGCACAGTCGGGGCCACAAGCCAGGTACTCCTAATGCCGATCCCTAGATCGGATAAATGGAGAGGGTTGCATCAGGAAGTGCATCCATTGTAACTAAAACATGTGGATCGCCATTAATGAGATTTCCATACTGGAAAATGTGTTAGAGGGCACCAAGAGAGAAGGACAGACAGGAGTATGATGGTGAGAGCAAAGATTTTAAATCTAGGGACTTTGACTGGTAAAGCGACAGAGCTGGCTGATATGGAGAATTTTGGTAAAGATGTATCACAGATATATCGTGTGTGCAGGAGACCAGATGAAAGAGAAGCAAGGCTGTGAAGCAAGGCTGTGAGCACTGGAGGTGGATTCAACCTGTTATGTTGATGGGAAGGCAAGTGGAGTAGGGGTAGTCTTGAAGGAAGATATGTGAAGATTGTTGTAAAGGTGAAGAGAGCCTGGAAGTCAAAGGTGTGATGTTGAACCTTGTTGTATGCCCCAAAGTTGGATGTTAGTTAGAAGTGAAAGAATTATGAAGTAAGTTGAATTAAGTGGTAGAGAGTGTCGCCATTAAGGAAGAGGTTGGCAAAGCAGACTTAAATGGATATGTAGGTGAAGGGAACAGAAGTGATGAGGAGGTAGTGTTAAGGAGAAGATAAGAAATGTAGATGGTGGTGGGTTTTGCAAAAAGAATGTGCAGCACATTATAGTCCAAACAGAAGCTGGCAGCCTATACACTGCTACAGTTTTATCTTCAGCACCATGTGTGGTGATGCCCAAAACCTGTCTTTATCAGACATAACGCAGTAAATTTTTAACTGATCAAGTCCTGTTTCTAGTCCATGTTTGAGTTAATAATTAGTCCAGCAACAGCGGTGCTGTTCCTTTGTTGTTGTTATTTTGCAAGTGTTTGTGTAAAGTTATATATTTTTCCACTGCACGCGTTTGCGTAGACTCTGGTTTTTCTTTTTTGTGAGCTTAGCTATTACATGCACAACATGAATCAGTACTGTAGTGAATATCCTTTCTTCATTTCTGTGTTCATATAAAGCAGTTATCAGCACCCAGTTCAAACCTGCTGCAGCTGTCCCGCTTGGGTTACAGGCTCAAGGGCTACTCAGAAATAAATGCTTCTGAATGGATTGTTCAAACTGGATCTGACAGACATTTGTGAGTCGATTCTATTGACACAAAAAACCTGGTGATACAAACAACTGGTGCAAGGCTTTCTGTGAAAAACAGTGTTACTGTACTGCACTCTGAATCAACAAGTTATGCACATTTTGGTATGTTTTATATCTCCCTAGAATCAGCAGCATAAGCATAATTTCTGCATGTTATGTTTTTGTGGCTTAAAGCGCTGCTGTCATTATGGCAGACCACAGGACTCTGTCACATTAATCACCTTTTCTGCAGAGCTTATGTAACCTCTGCAAACCTAAAGTGATTCCTGTTGTCTTCCTGTTCATAAAATAAACACATGGCACTGCTACATTTTTTAGATGTTGCTGAAAAAAACTGATCAAATGCTCACAATTTTTTTTAAGTGCCATTAGTTTTTGTGCTAAAACGACATCCCTGTATAGATATAAAAACAGTCCTGCAACAGTTTTAACACCTACAAAAAAACTCAGTTCAGAAACCAGTTACTGCAAAAACAAATACAGACTCTTACAGAATGTTAATGAGGGTTTTCTCTGTCAGCACATTAGTTTAACCCTCAACAAAGTTTTTCTTCTTTCTTTCTTTTTTTTTTTTAAACCAGCCTAACTGACCTACATTTGAAGTCTCAGCACACAAAGCGTTAACTGCGTTAAACCTTCGTCCTGACTTGGTTCGCGAACTGTGGGCGTGCCAAAGCGGCTGTCAGTGCAAAAGTGGGATATTTGTAACTGCACACGACAGTACAGGGACTCCGAGAGAGGGGGGCTGGTCATGCTTCGTGGTGCATTGGTAGTTTTTTTAAACATCAGTACTGTTTCTCAGTCATGGCTCGGATACTAAACCTCATCAGAGTTCAGTTGCGCAGAGATTTAGCCTCGTGTCGAGGCGTCGCTGGGCAGCCTCTGAGAACCATCAGCTGCACCTCAAGAAAACAAGCAGAGGAGAGGTGAGACAGTTTAGTTTGATTCATTTTTAAGGATTCGTCTCATGCAACCAGTTTTGGTCAGGGTAACGATCACAAATGAGGCTTTAAAAATGCCATGAAAGTGATCGATTTGTGCAGCAAAACTTAACGTGATATGCAAGCTTCACACAAAACTGTTGGACTTAACGCACTTTAGTCTTATCTGACCTTAAAGTCTCAACTTGCTGACCTCAGTACATCATTATCAAGCTACTTTTGTAACTTGTGCATGTTGCATGGCGCTGTAGCTATGTAGCAGTTAAATTGCTTCCTGTCCTGGCAGTGATGCATCTTCAGTTTTGGGAAAGCGGTGGAAGGACACTGCAGAGACTGTCATCATTGGTGGAGGGTGTGTGGGCGTCAGCTTGGCCTATCACCTGGCCAAAGCTGGGATGAAGGATGTGGTTCTGCTTGAGAAGACTGAGCTGACAGCTGGATCTACCTGGCATGCTGTAAGTTTACAAAAGTGCTGAGACCAAAGACCCTACAGGGGTCCACAGGGTCCTGAATGTGAAGCCAGAGAAAGGCCAGGGTCACACATTTCACTTTCATGTTGGTTGGCGACCATTATTACCTTCATTAACGTTGAAAGGACCACAGCCCAAAGTCAATAAACCACTGCTCCCATTAAACTTGAATTATACATCAGTTATTGAAAGAAATCTTTACATTTGGCTTCTTTCCTTCAGTTGAATTGTAATCTGACAGTTGGAGTTCTGCATAACAGAGAAGAATAAGCAAATGGTCAAAATTAAGAGACTGGAAAGAGGGTATATTTGGCATTTGTGCTTGGAAAATGAGAAACAATTATTATTATTTTTTTCAAATTGCCTTTATTTTTATATTCTCTGAATGAGCTTTCTTAGCTTAATACTTAAGAAAAATATAATAAAATGACTCAATTTTGGGTCTTGGGTCAGTGATGTGGTGTAATGATTAAGCATAACATGTCTCCAGAATAATTTGAAGGTACTGAGCCTTTAACCTCCTATGACCTGAACTCTTCCACGGCATGCATTTTTAATTTCTCTTTGATATTTGGGCTGATTGAGGCCCGATGAATGTAAAAACAATGAATTACCAGATTTTTTTTCACCTTATTTTTGTTTTTAAGAAAAATAAGAGCCACATATGAGGATATTTGTTTAAAAATTTGATAGAACAGTAGCAGTATAGTGTCCTCGTAAGAGGATATCAGGCCCATGTAGAGCAAAATTTAGTATTTTGGTCTAAATAACCCAAAATGTGATGTCCACATATGTGGATGCAGGGTCCTAGGAGGTTAATACTGCTAGAAAACTGAAGTCTGGCTCTTCCTTGACAGTGAAAGTGTTTAGATCGAGTACTGGCAAGTGGCTGTCATCCAGTTGTTACTCCCTTTCCAGTGAGAGCAACTGTTAAGTTTTCAAGGTACTTGTGGTCCTGATCCTCTTGCTCCTTACACTCCATGTTATTCATTTACAAAAACGCAACACTCCTATACTATTAATAGACATTTCACATGTCAGAGGGGAAACTTGCTCTTCAGTTACTTGCCTCATTGGATGGGCAGGGACCCAGTGGACAATGGGTGAGGAATTAGGGTAGCTGCAGACTTATAATTGCCAACCAATATATGTAATTCGAATCAGAATCTGAATACTTTATTGATCCCTAGGGGAAATTATGTTGGTTACAGTGCTCCAGTACAAACAATAACAAAAATGGACAATACAGGAAGTAAGAAATAGCACAATATATAAAAAGGGTGTAGCTATAGCACTATAGTGTGTATTAGGTGGATGAGTTGTACAGGGAGATGGCCACAGGCAGGAATGATTTCCTGTGTCGTTCAGTGGTGCGTTTTGGTAATCTCAGTCTCTCACTGAACGTGCGCCTGTGGCTAGTCAGCACGTCATGGAATTGGTGGGAGAAATTATCCAACACTGACTTTATCCTGGATAACATTCGCTTTTCCATCACCACCCCAAGAGAGTCCAGCTCCATCCCCACAACATTGCTGACAGAAGTTGTGATTTCTTTTTTAATGTTTAATGAAGAGCGATATTAGCGGTTCAGATTATGTATATTGCTATAAAGCTCCTTAGAGCTCCCACAGCTTTAAGGAATATTTTAGTGTTTTGGCTCATTGATTTTTTTTTTTTTGCTGCCCCCAAGTGGCCAAAAAGCAGTTCTTGCAGCTTTAAGTTGGAATATGTGAAAGCAGTATCTTGCTGGGTGTATTTTCCAATTATCTTAATGGTGTGTTTGTATTTTAGGCTGGCTTGACAACATACTACCATCCAGGGATCAACCTCAAGAAAATCCATCATGACAGCATAAAATTATATGAGACCCTGGAGGCTGAAACTGGACAGGTGAGGTACTTTCCTTAGCTTTCACAGCTTTTACAAGCATAACTGTATTTGTATATTTGTATACCTTTTATATTGACTTTCTCTGCAGGCAGTGGGCTTGCACCAGCCTGGCAGCATTCGTATTGCTTCAACGCCGATTCGAGTGGATGAAATGAAGTACCAGATGACCCGCACACACTGGCATGTGACAGAACAGTACCTCATCGGACCAGAAAAAATCCAAGAACTCTTCCCTCTGCTTAATATGGATAAGGTCTGTATGCCTTTATGGATTAGTCACATTAATGACTTCTGATAGCAAGAAGTCATTAATTCGATTGTTCTCAAACTTGTTCCTGCTCAATCTTTTTATTGTCTTGAAACAGACATTAGAAAGTGTGAAGAAGCACAGTGTTTATCTGAACCTTGACAGATGTGGTTTTTTGGTATTCAATTACCCAAAACTTTTAAAGCCAAATACTTGACTTCTTGACAAGAGTTAGAGAAGATAAATATCACTCTGCTAACTGTTCACTAATTATTACCTCTGCTATGGAGGATATGTTTTTTGCACACGTGCTTGCCATGCTTACTGTCTATAAGCGCAACAGCTCGAAAAGTTTTGGATTCATTTTGATAAAACTTTATAGGGGTGGAGAGTAAGTGCCTTAAAATTTTTCTTACATCCACCAAGGTCATTAAGGTCAGCGTAATGACCCGTTGGTCAAGAAATAACCGTTTAACTTAGATGAGTCTTACAAGTGTGCTGTGTATTGTCAACATATAGAAAGTACTGTATAAAGATTTTAAGTATCATGTCACATTTGACCTCTGACCTTTTTATAAAAGTCAGTAGATTAATCTGAAAGTCAGACAGATGCAGTGCAGAGCTATTTAAAACCCTTTTTCCTTACTGCAGTTGTTTGTATTGACAGCATATAGAGAATGATATATGGGCATTCTAAATATCACATTACTTTGGACTTCTGACTTCTTCTTCAACATCAAATATGGTCAAACTTTCATAAAATTATAAATAATAATAATATTATACAATAAGCTCTATATTGTATAAGTAATAATATTCATTCCCTGTTGATTACAAATCAATACCTATTATCCATTACCTTCTCCTGTTTGTGTAATTAAAGTAAACATTGGTCATGGTTTTTAGTGCGCTACAAACCTCTGAAAGCACGTTAAAAAAGATTAAAGAAAACAAAATAAATATAAATAAAATATAATGCTATCCCCTTAAAAGGAAACACTGCCCAGACAGTGAACTGCCTTGGCGGACATTTGCATTCTTGGAGTGCTTCCTTTTCCATTATGAAACTACAGCAAGGAGATGTTTAACTTAGACTCCGACCAATACTGGATTTTTGCAGGCAATTCCAATACCAGCTTTTAGACAGTAAAAGGTTCTCATAACCCTCTATCAGCTGTTATATTGAAAATACAAGATAAAGTGATGAGCTCATTGTTTAACAGATTTCAAGCAATGAATTTCAAGAACTGGTTAGATACTTGCCATAAACATTCCCCCACTTAAGACCATGCATGCGTCTGCTTAGTTGTAATGCTGCTCTGGTACATACTTTAAAAAGTGCTAAGAGTATTGTAACACTGGAGTGCTAGACTCTCAAATGGCACAAACTATGTGACATTTCTAAATGACTCTGCATCTTTTATTTGTAGCATGGTTTTGTAAACAAACTAGTTCCATCTAGTTCAGACATTTCAGATAATCATGTCAGTATAAATGTATCCCTGATCTATATCTGTATATCTATATCTATATTTAATGATTAAATTAGGTTTGTAGACTCTACAATAGAGAGAAAACCCCTACAGTAAGATGAACCCCATGTGAGCCAACACTTGGTGACAGTGGGAAGGAAAAACTCCCTTTTAACAGGAAGCAACCTCTGGCTTGGGGAAGGCCAGCCATCTGTCATGACCGGTTGGGAGTGATCCAAATCAAGAAATATGTAAAAATTATTACTTTATCTGAGCTTTAAACACGAGTAGAAATCTTGCTGAAAAATGGATGAGCTATTAAAGTTTAAAATAAATTTAGAAATGTTTTTATTATTATTTTATTGCTGAAACATGTCATTGTTCCTGGTTTTGTGCTCTTGGCTCTGTCCAAAGTTCACAGTTTAGCATTAGATCCAAAGCTAAACATCTCGACGAGTGTTGTAAAGTTGGGCTTTAAAGTTGACCTGATCCAGCGCTCCTGAAATTTACCAAACACAGTTATGATAAGGGAATAATTAGTTGATCTAATATTAGGTTTTTGGTATGACATCAGCTTAGAAAGGTAAAACCTACAAACCTCTGAAGTTAAATGACCCAAAGAATGAGACATCTGTTGATATGTTGTTGACCTGCGTCTGCTTAAGTGCTTAGAGTCGTTGATATATTTCACTGTTAGCAATATATCTTCATGGAGCTGCTTGATCAGCTAATTATTAAGTTTATTATTATTATTATTGAATCACCATTTTGAATTTGTTGTGTGAAGGTTTCTGTTTAATCTTAGGTGTTGGCAGGTCTTTACACCCCAGGAGACGGCCACATCGACCCTTACTCTCTGACTATGGCTCTGGCTGCTGGAGCTCGTATGTATGGTGCCCAGATTTATAATAATGCCCCCGTGACGAGCCTCAAGCCAACGTCTGATGGCAAGTGGGACGTGCAGACCTCTCATGGAACAATTCGGGCAAACCGCATTGTCAACACAGCAGGTGAATATTCATAATCTCTATACGCATTTATTCAAAGGATAATAGGAGCGGTGATCCTGATATTTTAGATGCTAAACACTATATCCATGCAGAAAATGTAAGGAAAAGTACAAGGGAATAAGTGCAGTTTGCAACTCACATGTGAATATGTTCTAGTCCAGATTTTTCTTCTTTGTCTCAAGTTTCTTCGTGTGTATGTTGGTAAAAGAAGAATAGTTTTTGTTTTATTTGTTTCTTTTTTGTGGGAAAAGGATAGATATCGGATTTCAGAGCACAGTAAAACATCTTATCTATCTATAGATACTCTGGTAGGAGACCTTTGCCCACCCTGACCACTGGCTGAAAAGTTTAGAAAACAGAGTTTTTGGTCTGAACCGGGTCATACCAGTTCTTGGGGGATTTTGTTGGCCGCGGCTCTTTGCTGCTGTTGCCTGTTTTTCTGGCAGAAGTTCAAGAATATGCTTCACTCTCTTTCTCCTGTCTGTGCTCCCCTGTGGAGTCATGCATTTAATTAGTCACCCTTTTTTTAATGTAATGCACAAACTTAGAAACAAATGGCAAATGAAATAGTGACTGTAGTCAAACAACCACCGCCAAAAAAAATACAAGAATTTGAAAGATATGCACAGTTTAAAAATAACAAACTAGAAACTAAACTATGTCTGTTCATGTGTTTTGGAGCACACACAAAGGTGTAAAGAAGCTGAAAATAGCAAATGTTTAGCAGCAGAGCATAGTTACTACTTCATTCACATTTTCTTCCTTTCATATTTTCTTTACTCTGGTTGAATCCAGTTATGTTGAGGCCTTGCTGGCATTTCGCCATCACTGTAACAGCCAATCGACTTAGGGCAACAGGTCAGATTTCATCCAATCTTGAAGCAGCAGCACATGTAATCCTCCTCCTCCTGACATGCAGTTCTAAGCCTTTCACTACTGCTGTGCAGCTGCTCCTTCTTGCATGCAGGGACCTTGGGTTTGTGGTTTAGCTTTAAAAAAAGGCAAAGTTTTACAAAATAAGTTTAAATTCATTCAATTAATATAATTTTTTGTGGTTCTTGAGTTTCTTGTGCTTCATGGGCAGTCTCACATAGCGTGGCAAAAAACGCCTTTACATTCTCAAACTCTATGCTTCTACAGCAAACATCTCACAGTTGAAAGTGTCGTCTGCAGTACAGTCTGTAAGTCCTCTTCCTATCAAAGCATCCTCCTTACCAAAGAGGGCTCAGTTGAAGCCAAAGCTCATGGTTGCCATGTGAACCTAATATACGAGGCGATCGTTTGATTATCTTCAGTGTTTTCTCAATGTTTCTGTCTGTAGTACTAGAGTCTGTTCATCATGTAAAATATGTGTGCACAGGCTGGTTTGGTTCTATTTACTTGGAATTTCATTTGTTGTTTCAGTGATTTTTTTTTTTTTTTTTTTTTTTTTTTGCATGTATTTTTGCACCATTGCATAACTTTGGATCTGTTATTAATAAAAACTGTTTCTAATACTTCACTAGTTATCATTTTTAGCTCTTACTTAACCGTTAGTCTTAAAAACTATTCATTAGCATTAGATCAGTAACTTGTAGCTCACCCTTTCATTTCCTTATCCATCCTTATTATAGCAGATCACATGATGAAATAGTGTAAATGTATGGCCAAACTAGCAAAGTTAAAACCTTGCTTTAGTTCATTGAGGTCTATGAGCGTTTGTTTTTGCACCACTCACTTAAGGCCCCACCCACAGCCTTTCAGTCAGGAGTCTTGACTTTGATTGGGCCATTGCAGCAACTTGATTATTTTCTTTTTCGGTCATTCAGTTGCAGATTTTCTTATGTGCTTGGGATCACTGTCTTGTTGTATGACATAAATTTCAGCCAAGCACTAGCTGTTGAACAGATTGCCTCATGTCTGACTGTAGAAACTGCAATATGCAGAGGAATTCATGGTCGACTCAGGGACTGCAAGGTGCCCATGTCCTTTGGCTGCAAAACAAGCCCAGATTATTATCACCCCTCCACCTCCACAGTTGTTATGAGGTGTTTATGCTGTGACTACACTTTGTCTGTCCAAAGGACATTGTTGCAGAGGTCTTGTGGTTTGTTCATATGAGAAGAGAAGAGGCTTTCTTCTGGCAACCCTTCCAAACAAGTGATACCTGCTCAGTGGGTTTTTTTGGGTTATTTTGTACTGTCATTAATTTTAAAATTTAGCATGCTAACCAAGCCCTGTACAGCCTGAAATGTAGCTTTTGCTGGGGGGGGGGTTCTTTTGCAGTCTATGCGAACATTGTAAATGGGCTGGTTCTTATATCTACTCTGAGCACTCAGAGCACTTCTGTTTAGCTCGCCTTAATCAATCATTCACACAAGCACTTTTTCTGTGCTAAAAATCTAAAATTCATACACACTCATACTGCGATGGATGCGTCGGAGAGCACCTTAGTATCTTGAGCAAGTATATTTTGCATGCGGACTGGAACAGAGCGGCATCAAACCACCAAACTTCTAATTAGTAAGGGACCTGCTCTACTTCCCGAGCCACAGCCACCCCAAAATGTACAGTCTGACTTTGCAGCAATTGTGGCTTTGTGTTGACACAGCCCTGAATCTTCCAGACCAGCAAAATGCCAAAACTATATACAGGTGTTCACACTTTCTAATGATCCATAAATGAAGTGCATTTTTAGCAGCACCTGCTGCTGCCTGCCCTCTGAATTCCTGTGGAAGCAGTAAGTGTGATTTGGCAGTTTTGCATTATGTTATCCTTTACATTTAGCTAATTATATAAACTACAATCCATCACTTCTGGATATCTCTTCTGACCATTCAGTGCCTCACATTGTAACATATAAACTGGGTTAACCATTTTTTGTTTTGAATCGTTTAAGTATTACTTCTGGCTAACTTGAATCGCTCTCCCTCCAGTAGCTGATAATAAACTGAGTCTCTTCAAAGTTGTTTTACTCATACCACAGTTGACTAGCAGCACCCACCGAACTAGACATATTCTGAGCATGTGGCAAACAGCTGTTTAGCCTCTGATTTTACAGTAAATTGGTCTGACTATTATAATTCTCAGAGAAATAAACTTTACTCCATTAACCAATGTTTACTAGGTAACTCTGTAACTCTTAAAGTGTTGTGTATATGAAGCTCCAACCTGTAACCAACTGTAAATAGAATCTGCAATGTTATTATGCTGCAGACTTGCATACGAGTACATAGATTGAATACAAACTCTTGTGAAGAGCTGCTGACAAGAATATGTTGCAACACTTAGCTAAAGATAGCAGGGATCAACAGGTTTTTCTCTGGCTTCACACTCTGGGCCCCAGCAAAGGCATTAGTACACATCTGTGTTGCTTTCAGGTGTCCCAGCATATTTGTTTTGTGGCTATTAATTTATAAAACGGGTTATGCTGTACTTCAGGTGTATGCAAATTTATTTTTTTTAAGAGAAAGAGTTGGGGAAACTCTAAGTGAACACATTCAAGTAAGCAACTTAACCAAAATGTTGTGATGTTGTAAATTAAGCTTAGTATTCCTTCTACACACTGAAGTGCCCTCTATGTGAAAAAACTGCTCTGGTGAATAATGTAGAGCTTTGAACCCCGAGGGTAACTTCTGATTCACGTCTGGTGTCATCTCATAACATGTGATTTTTATAGTTGTGACTTGTATTTTCTTTTTTTTCTTTTTTTTGCTTCTAATGCTGTAATGCTTATACATTAGATTAGCGATAGGGCTCTTAAACTAGTTCCTCGTGGTTTATATTGAATCTATTTAATCTGTGCTGTCCTATTTATTCTTGCCTTCATTTTCGGGTCTTATGTGTGTCTGTCTTGCATATATCTATGTGTACACCTGTGTGTTTGCCCCTGTGATGTGACATTTTTATGAAATCTAATCCCTTAACCCTCCTTGCAAGTGATGAAATACTCCAGCAGTCAGTGTTATTAGAAATCCAGCTTGCACCAGTACTAGCACACCTTGCCAGTATCGGATTGGACCACCTGCTGGTGGCATATTTTCAAAAACTGACCTCAGAGGTTAGTACTCACATTATAGCATCACATAGTTGGTGTAGATTTGTCAGCTGCACATCCTTTATATGAATTTCCCATTCTACCACATCCCAATGTTCTACTAGATTGAGATCTGGTGACTGTGGAGTACAATGAAATCATTGTCATGTTCAAGAAACCAGTTACAGATGGACTTTCAACCTTGTGACCTGGTGTGTTATCCTGCTGAAAGCAGCCATCAGAAGATGGGTACAAATGTGATCATGACGGGATAGACGTGATCAGCGGCAATACTCAGGTAGACTGCCATTAAAACAATGCTTATTTGGTGTCAAAATGCCAAATGTGTGCCAAGGAAATATTTCAGGAACCATTACACCACCGCTAGCATCAACCATTGTTTGATATAAAGCAGGATACATCCTTGTTTTCATGTTGTTTATGCAAAATTTGGATCTTACCCTCCAAATGTTGCAGCACTTCTATTGTCCAGTTTTGATTGTAGTTTCCTGGTCTTGGCTGACAGGAGTGGCAGCCAGACTCCCCCTGCTGCTGTAGCTCATGTGCTTCAAGTTTAGACGCGATGAGCATTCAGGGATGCTCTTCTGCATATCTTGGTTGTAACAAATCGTTATTTGACTTGCTGTTACCTTCTTATTAGCTTGAAGCACTCTGGCCATTTTTCTTTCATCTTTCGCATGGACATTTTCACCCAAAGAACTGTCGCTCACTAGATATTCTTTCTTTTCTGGATTATTGTCTGTAAACCCTAAAGATGGTTGTGTTGGGAAAATCCCAGTACAACAGCCATTTCTAAGATACTCAGACCAGCCCATCTGGCAGTAACAACCATGCCCCATTCAAAGTCACTTAAATCACATTTCTTCCACAATCTGATCATGCCATGATAATAAATTGCTGTTTCAATTTAAAAACACAGAGACAACAGAGAGACCTTTTAAACATTCTGTAATCTGTTTGGTAGTTTTATAAAGAATCAAACAATAAAAGAAAAACATCCTTTAAAAAATGTTTCTTTAAATAGGAAGCCCAGTTTCATGCTGTGAGTAAGATGATTGTTACCACTCTGCTTCTGTAAATTTTTATGAGAAGCTACATTTTGGAAATGGCTGTTGTTTGCTAGCATCATGATTCCCCTTTATGCAAAGATAAGCTAGAAATCTTGAGCCTTCACCTTTAACTGACTGACATTTATGTTTTCATGAGAAGACAATTCTGAACAAATATTTGTCAAAGATGCATTTAGAGATTGAGAGCGAGCCAACTCTATCTGTTGGCTGACTTCACCTCTTCAGCTGAACTGACTGCATCTAATTTGTTTTCAGGTTTCTGGGCCCGGGAGGTTGGCAAGATGATTGGGTTTGAACACCCTACTATTCCAGTGCATCACCAGTACATTGTGACAGCAACGATACCAGAGGTGAAGGCTCTGAAGAAGGAGCTGGCAGTCATCAGGGACCTGGAGGGGTCTTATTACCTGCGTCAGGAAAGAGATGGCCTGCTGTTTGGCCCCTATGAGAAGATGGAAAAGATGGTTTTACAGGACTCCTGGGTGAGAGATGGAGTACCACCAGGTCTGTCTGCCACATCAGATTTTCCAATCTAAATATTTCTACAAAGTTTTCATCTTCCTGTGCATGACTGTTTCTATCTGCCTGCAGGTTTTGGAAAGGAGCTGTTTGAGTCTGACTTGGACAGGATAATGGAGCATGTGGAAAAGGCCATGGAGATGGTCCCTGTACTAAAGAAAGCTGACATCATTAACATTGTTTCTGGACCAATCACATACACTCCTGACCTCCTGCCTATGGTTGGACCACACTGTGGAGTTCGCAACTACTGGACAGCGATTGGCTTTGGGTGTGTGTTTAGTCAGGTGTTGCTGAACCGTATCTAGCTAAAATACTGCTAAGAGGTAAAAGACAGAAAAAATAGCTGATGTAGTATGAGTCGTTGATTTGGCTAGCATTACAACATGCAGTTGGAGTTGCATCCCAACTATATGTAACTTACAAATGTGATGCGCATATTTTTAGATGCAGTGTGACTTAAACCTCTAGAAGACTTTGATTTTCTTTGAAAAGCTTTATTTATTTTTTTTTAAATCCATCAAAGCCAATCGATAGTACCTAAAGCTCTGATTTAATATTTGTTCAGGTATGGTATTATTCATGCTGGTGGCATAGGCAAGTTCCTGAGTGAATGGATCACGAACGGAGAACCTCCATACGACCTGATCGAATGTGACCCCAACCGCTATGGCAAGTGGACTGATGTACCCTTCATATGTGCCAAAGCTCGAGAATCCTATGGCTTCAACAATGTGGGTAAGAAGAACATGGGACAGCTGCACAGCATTTGTGGAACAGAGCCTTCTATTATATTGTTACTAAAAGCCTGCTGTGTCCTCCTCATGCTGTTGGTCACTGCAGTTGGTTACCCCAAGGAGGAGCGTTTTGCTGGCCGACCAACCTGCCGAACTAGCGGTGTTTATGAGCTGCTGAAAGACAAAGGATCTATGGGCTTTCATGCTGGCTGGGAGCAACCTCACTGGTTCTACAAACCTGGAGATGACATTGGATACAAGTAAGGTTTCTCTGTAAATTTCTAACAGTGTCTTTTTGATATGGAAAATCTGAATGCTAATTTTTTTCCACTTGAATCCACTGTGCATTACAACACCACATCCACCACCCTTCAAGCTCTTTCAGGTAGTACAGGTACAAGTTTGCCCGAGATCATCTAACAGGCTTTCTGACGATATTAGCACAAGAGGACCATTTAAATTCCCCACTGAAACTGAACAGCTGCTACTGTTCAAGAACACATGCAGCAGATGCACAAGTCTCTTTTACAAACCCACATGTCGATGAGCCTTTGAGTTGTCCAAACCTCAAACATATCCAGTTGGCCTTCTTGGCAGTTGCATATTTGGCTCTTTCTGGGACATAGTTGTTTTAGTTTGTATGGAAGCTAAAAGCTGCGGTTATAATCTTGCAAAACATTTATTGTGTCTTGCAATGCAACTTTCCGCTAGCCAGTTTTGCACAATAAAATGTATATTTTTAGCCAGACCGAATGTCTCAAATAGTTGGACACACATTATTTTATTTTTTTTTTTAGGCACTCTGGGTAATCTCATGATATCTCATGTAGAGCCTGACCGATCAGCCAGTTGATCCGAGCAGTCAGATCAGCTATAACATGGGAGTCTTTTAAAACATTATCTCTTTATCTGAATTGAGTGTAAATGAGTACTGGATAACTACACATGAGAAATGTTATGGAAAAAATATCAGCCTGTATATTGGAATACTCCGTTAAAAGACAGAATATTGGTAGTGGTATGAGTTTGTTTTGCTCAGGCTTTGTTCTCTAGTGTCAGCATGAGGTTATCATCAGTTGTGGGGGGTGGGGTTCTGCTTTGGACAACTTCTCTGATTTCATCCATGCTTTCATCCATCCATTTTCTTTAACACTTATCCAGTGGAGTGTAGTAGGGAGGTCAAAGATGTCAAGACCATCTCACCTTTCCCTACTTGCTGAGCTTTCCTGCTGATATATTCATTTCTAATGCTGTCGATCATGGTCCCTCCCAATGAAAATCTGAGCACCTTCAACTCCACCTGTGTCCACCTGTGTGCCCCTGTCCTCCGCTCTTATATTACACCCTATGTTCTTCCCTCTTCTTGAAACATATTCACCGCAGCTATTTCCATCCTTTTTGCAAAATCCACCACCATCCATATTCAACCACTACCCTTCCACATTTCTTTCCTGACGCCATACCTACCCAGGACCTCATGCTCTCTGTTCCTGGCACCTACATGTCCAGTGAATCTCTTGTCAGTCTCTCCTCCATGGGAACACTCTACCACTAAATCCAACTTACTCCAGAATTCCTCTTTCTCTTCCAACTATCCAACCTTTGGGGCATAAACACATTCAACATTACCCCTTTGATTTCTAGTTTCAAACGCATGAATCCTGTCTTGCACTCTCTTCACCTTTACAACCCTATTCACATAATCTTCCTTCAAAATTACCTCCAATGCTTCTGGCCTTGCTTCCCTTCCCCATAGTCCTCAGTCTTCACTTTCTCCATCATATCAGTCAGCTCTCTCTTTACCAGTCATAGTCCCTCCATTTAAAGTACTTATTCTCTCTGCCACACTCCTTCTCTTTCACTGCCTCCAAACATGCCTTCCCTCTTTCCTTCTCTTTTATCTTCAGCCAACAGTAGCACAGTTTTCACCAGCACCCTGTTGGCCAACAGCACTGCATGTGATTGTTGTTAAACTGGGCCTCAATCCATCTACTATGGTTTGGTCTGCCAATAATTTACCATTGGATGCCCTTCTTGATGCATTTATCCAGTCTTGGGGCCAGCAATGTGTTGGCTTGTATCAATTCTAACTAGAACTGCTTAAAAAGATTGTTGAATTTGCTCCAACATAAGCTTTGAACATTTTTCATGCAATAGCAATGGATAGTGTTGCTTTTTTTGATGTTACAGAATGCAGTGCCTGCACAGATGTTTGTATGTCTGCAAAACTTTAAAACTTTTATCAGTGTTTTTTTTTTTTCTCTAGTCTTGTTTATATTTCATTCCCATTGGAACAATATTCACTCAGTGCACTGCCCTTTTACAGTGAAACCTATAACACTTTCAAATAGAAAAAGTAATAAAATAAGCAAATCACTAGTAAGTAAAATACATAGTTAACTGATTTTGTGTTGTGCTCAGACCCAGCTTCCAACGCACCAACTGGTTTGGACCAGTTGGAAGAGAGTGCAAGCTGGTGATGGAGAAGGTTGGAGTAATAGACCTGACACCTTTTGGCAAGTTCATAGTAAAGGGGAAGGACTCACACAAGCTTTTGGATCGCCTCTTTGCCAACACCATGCCCAAGGTAGAAGACCTAATGTAAACTGTTCAGCTCATAAAGTGATGATTGTGTTGGTCACATATCCAGTGCACTGTACTGCTGCACAAACGGCCCTGACCACACAGTTTTCTCAAACTCCATAACCTGTTTTCAGGTGGGCATGACCAACATCAGCCACATGCTGACACCCTCTGGGAAAGTATACGCTGAGGTTACCATCACCCAGCTGGCACCAGGAAGGTTTCTGCTCGTCACAGGTTCCGGCTCGGAGCTGCACGACCTCAGGTGAAATGGATCAAACCCTTTAAACTTTAAACTCTGTCAAATTCAGCCGTAGATAATTTAGCAGCAATAATTGTCCTGAATAGTTTCTTTAAATAAAAAAATAAAAAATTAATTAAAAAGAATATTTTAAAACATTATCTCTTCATGCAGTTTCAGTGAACCTGGGCTCAATAGATTTTCCAGACTGGGTTCCTTATTACAGTCTTACTCAGAGAAATAAGGAGTTTTGTTGCATAGCACAGAAAAACACAGAGCTCTGTCTTAAGGCTGATACTTCAGATTTTCTCCAAGTTTGTGTTTTCCTTTCAGTTTGCTTTGGGTCAAAATACACCAATACCCATGAATCTCAGTTACTGAAGTGAGTTGCCAAGATGTGATTTAATATTGAAAATGAGTAAACTAATTAGCTCATCAAATAAAAATAACTCTGAAACTCTTTAAATGAAGTACTGCATCATACTAAGAGTAGCAGAACTGAATCAGTGCCACATGTCTAAAACTCCACGCACATATTGATTTAGACTACATTTCAATATTTCAGTCCCTGCACAGTGCTCATACTGTTAGCAGTTAAGCAAACACTGTTTTGCTCTCTGTCCTGTGCCCAGTTCAAGCTGTGCTGGCTTGCTGTCAGTTTTGTACTGCAGAAACTTAAAACCTATCTGCAGCTGTTAACACAACGCCCCTCGAGCTCCTCCAATCACGAGGCAGAATCGTAAACCATTTATTTTCATTCCTTCACTGTAATCAACTCTCTACCACAGTTTCAAAAAAGGAAGTTTTTTTTATGCCATGTAGCGACATCTAGTGGTAATTCACATATTTGCAAAGCCCATAAAATTTGTCTAGTCTATAAATGTATTAACGGCTCTTTGCCTTGTGGATTTGCACTTGCCACAGGTGGATAGAAACTGAAGTTGCACAAGGTGGATATGACGTTGACATTACAAATGTGACAGAAGACATAGGTGTGCTGGGCATTGCCGGACCAAACTCTCGCAAAGTTCTCCAGAAACTGACAAATGAGGATATGAGTGAAGCTGGATTTAAGTTTCTCCACTGCAAGTCCATCCAGCTTGCCGGCAAGCCTGTCCGTGCCATCAGGATCTCCTACACCGGTAGTGCAAGGCAGTTCATTTATTGCGTCTTGCAATGCAACTCTCCCTAGCTAGCTTTGCACAATAATATATATTTTTAGCCATGCCTAACAGCAGTGTTGGCCAGTGCTTCCTCCATACTGGTCCAGACCGAATATTTCAAATAGTGAAAGGAGTGAAATTTTCTACAGGCACTCTAGGTGAACCCCTGACATCTCATCTTTTGTGTCTAAACACAAAAGAAAAGAAATTCAAAAACATCAGTTTAGTGAATATAAAAAAATACGGAGGCTCATTTATCCCAAGAAAAGAAAACTCTACGTGGATTTCGAGATACTTAGAATTATGAGATACCGAGTGAACATTTTTCACTTACTTTGACAAAAATGCAAGATTCTAATAAAGTAATGACATACTAAGTCAAATAATAAGTCATTATTATCTAGGGGAAAAAGAACTATGTCAAGTATTAAATATAAAATCAATATTATGAATTACTCAGACAAACTTTTACCAAAACAAAAATTCTGACTTAATAACTCAAACTTTAGCATAATTTATAAAATAAAATGCAAACTATGACTTATTACAAACAAAGTTTAGACATCAATTAAATATTATGACTTGCTAATGCAAAATTCTGAAATATTCATTAAGAGATTTTAGATGCAAACTCAATACGGGGACTTGTTATTTTTTATAATTATTATCATTATTATTATTAGTAGTAGTAGTAAAATCATGATAAGTCAAAATGATGGTTATTGGGTTAAAAGTAGAATTATGAGTTACTGAGATGTTTTATTTAAGAAAAATGTGAGATGTTAAATAAAATTTTGAATTTACTCATTCAAAATTATGCAGAAACCAAACTAAAATCTTTCTTCAACTATTTCAACTACTTTAATTTTCATTTCATTAATTTTCCTTTTATTTTTATAAAACATGTACACTCCATGGTCTCAGTTCACGGTTTATGGATATTTTCTTTTATTTTTATGAATCTTTTACAGTGTGAATAATCTCATAGTTTAGAGTTTATGACTGCCCCCATTCTTTTGTCTTTTCCTTTCAGTCGCATAGTTTTCAGTGCTGAGTATCAACATGCTCTTAAGTGTAAGTGTTTTTGTGTCTAGGTGAGCTTGGCTGGGAGCTGTACACTGACCAGAAGGACTTGGCAGCTGTGTACCTGGCCATGATGGAAGCAGGAAAAGACGAGGGCATTGACAATTTCGGCACCTATGCCATGGCCTCGCTCCGACTGGAGAAGGGCTTCAGAGGCTGGGGAGCTGAGGTACATACATATATACATGAAGAAGAAAAAAAAACCCTCCTTGTTTAAATGTGAAGCAACATATTACGCAGTAACAGGGAGACAGAGGAAATGAAAACGTCACCTCTTGATAGTTGCGTCTTCCACAAAATCAGCTTCAGCAGGAAACTTTGAGTGTCATATTACAACTTTTTATAACAATTTTGAATAAGTTTCTTGAAAGTATTCAACTGGTATAAAATATGCATCGCAAAAAAGCAAGTCCTTGCAGCCATTCTGCCTCCTGTAATTCTCCTGTGAATCAAAGAGGCTTCGGTGTGGTAAGGCAGGCCACGCATGATGCTTTCTTCAGTATGAAGGCTGTCAAACTGTCGGGAATTCAAATCTTTGGCTGGGATGAAAATTACAGTTCACAAAACCTCACTCATGAATTCATCCACTTTTAAGGACAACACGGCGACACAAACAAACTACTTGTTGTGACAAAATTCAAGAGAAAAATACAGGCTGCAAATGGAGGGATGCATTTTTTGGACTTTTCATAATGTTTTGGACGACAGTTGTCTTTTTTTGAAGTCAGGAGGGTGCTGCATCACCAGCCAGGCTGATTCAAAAAACACAAATCTTGTGGTTTTTCTCCATGATCTGTCTCATAGTGGTCCTTTAATATTATATTCCATCAGCGATGAAAACACCAAACACACAGCTTCCCTTTTAGCCCAGTGGAAAAACTATGATCTATGGTCCATTTTTTCTCGCCAAACCGCAAACTGTGTCAATTTCTTCCTTTTATGATAAAGATATTTTCAAAAGAGGCCTCAAATAAACAGCAGCGTATGCGTCACAGTCTAACTTGTAGTGTTTATATTAGAATATCAGCCTTTGGCCTTGATACTGTCATTAGGAGAGTGTGACACCCAGTGGACCAATCGTGAATAGCATTGCATTGGAAGGGTTAGGGTTTTCACACTTTGCAAAGCCATCATGAGGGCTGGATTTCACTGTTCACTGGGGCCTTGGGTCATAAGATTGAAACCCCTGGATTAGAGGAACATCTGCAAAACAATGGAGATGAAAGAAAGACGTCTTTGTGTGACTTTGGAAAAGAATCTGAATCTTACAGAGTTGAATTTTTGAGAGAGAAGATGTTTCTTCTCTTATCTTTTTCACCTAGTCTGTATATGGTATACACTCCAAACACCTTTTATTAGACCCGCCTTAATAAAGTGAAGTTGCATTTCACTGTTTTTAATTTACAACAAATGACACAATTATATTGGTGAAAATTTTACTTTATAAAGTACAGCTTATGATTTTTTTTTTTAATCATTGATCTTTACAGATGAACTGTGACACTAACCCTCTGGAGGCAGGACTAGATTATTTTATTAAACTAAACAAGGTAACGTTGTTTCCTGCATGCATTCATATTCCAGTTTCAGTCATGCATTTCCTCTTTAACTGTTTGTGTCTGTGGTCCTGCAGCCTGCTGACTTCATCGGCAAAGCAGCTCTCCAGGAGATCAAAGCCAAGGGCCTGAACAGGAAGCTGTCCTACATTGCTGTGAACACAGATGATATCGACCCCGAAGGCAACGAGACTGTCTGGTACAATGACAAGGTTAGCGACAACAGAAGATCAAAACTCAATTTCCAATTTAGTTTAGAGATTTGGTGATCATTCACATGACGCTGATGTCCCTTGACCTTCTCTTCAGGTGGTTGGCAACACAACCTCTGGAGCCTACAGCTACAGCAGCCAGCAGAGCCTGGCATTCGCTTATCTACCTCTGGAATTAAGCACTTTGGGCCAGAAGGTGGAGGTGGAACTGCTTGGGAAGAAGTACCCCGCCAACGTCATCCAAGAGCCCTTAATCCACACTGAGCCCACGCGGACCCGGCTGCAGAAGAAAGCTCAGAGCAAAGCATAAACACAGGCCGTCCTCTCATCAGTTTCCCACCAGTGAATGAAGAACAATCTTGCTGTGAGTCAGGGTGGTTCACATCCTGAGTTGCTTGTGTTCACGTCTGTGGCCAGTTCAGGTCAACTTTATTCCGTTTTCTTACAAGGAACAAGTCTGAAACAGGCGTGCAAAAGCTCAGCACAGTCTTATAAACTGGGGTGTTCCTGCACCACAGTGTCTTGCATTGTTGACAGAGTAATTTCATTTTTGTAATTTCATGAATGGGTTGTCAAATGTTTACGCATCAACTGTTGTCTCTCTTATGAAGAAGAACTCATTTTCAGATTGAATGGTGCCCAAATAAGTCTTGACTTTTGTGCTTAAAAAAAGATCAGTGTTTGCAAAGCTGTACAAAGATTTAACCAAATGTGTTTTCTGTAAGTATAATTAAATGGATGTACATTGATAATTAAAGCACTCACTGTGTTCCCACTCCTTCCCTCTAACATTTAGTAGTTTACACAGTCAGCTGTGTATACTAACATTGCTTTACTGCATACTTTTAAGTATATAAAAATAAAAGTGCATCATAGTGAAGCATGTAAAATAAAATCATGATAAGTAATAATAGATTTTTAAATAGTAGCTCCATAGCAAAGTGGTTTACGCATCTGAACAACTAGTGAAAGACCCCGGGTTTGATCTGAGGAAAAGACACTGATACCTTCTGGGTTGGGTCGGGAGAGGCATCCAGTGTAAAAACTGCCAACTCGAACATGTTGCTTCTAATAGATAATTATAGTCCTATACCTGATATAAACTAATGCCAAATAATGGTTGATTTACTGCTAGTTAATAAACACAATGCAAATGCAGTACAAATTTTAAACTCAGCAGGAATTGAAAAAACAAAACAAAAAATGGGAATGTAGTTCTACAATCAAATAATCAACATTTAATATATTTCTACAGTGAAGTGGAACAGAGAAAATATATGAAATATATTTAGAAACCACTTAGAAAACACACAATTATTTACAAGTCACAATTATCAGACAGGAACAACTAATATATTAAACAAAGAAATGTCCATCCATTCTCATCTGCTTTTCCTTTTTCAGGGGGTCGCCAGTCTGTCGCAGGGCTAACACGTAGGAACACTCACATTCACACCTGTGGGAAATTTAGAGTTACTAATTAACCTGACCCACTAACTGTGTTTCTAGTTTCACTCCCCCTGTCTCCTTAGGTCTCATTCCTCCCAGCGGTGATCCCCTTCTGTCTAATTCCTTGATGACTTCCTCAGTGTATTTAAGCCCAGTGTTTCTTTGTGTCAGTGTTGTGTCGTACCCTCAGATTGTACCTGTGTGTTTCTCTTCTCAGTATTCATTGTTCAGGACACAAACACAAGACTCACACGGTAAATGTAACTGAAAGTGGCAGCTTTATTGTTGGAAATTACTGCTATAAATACAAAACAAATCAAAACTAGAAATAGGAAAACTCAAAGTAAGCCAGGAACCAGGAATTACTTAGAACACGGAGGGAAGAAACAGCATAGTGAGGATACGATGAGACCACCAACAGAGAGAAACACAGGTCTTAAGCAATGTCAGAAATCTTTCTCTACACAAATTTGTGTGTTTGTATTTTTCCATGCACACGTTCAAACACAGTGGCTGTAATTCTTTTTGTCTGTTTAGCCCCACCACGCTGTCTTTGCCCTAATTTTGCCCTAAAATTCAAGTTTCTGGGTGTGCACATAGACACAGACCTCCAATGGAGCTCTAACACCTCTGCGGTCTTAAAGAAGGCCCAACATCGTTTCCACTTTCTGAGAATCCTCAGAAAAATGGACCTGAAGAAGGAGCTGCTGACCGTCTTCTACCGCTGCTCCACTGAAAGTGTGCTGACATATTGCATCGGTGTGTGGTTCTCCAGCTGCACCACAGCACACAGAAAGGCACTCCAGAGGGTCATCAATATGGCCCAAAAAATCATTGGACATCCTCTTCCCTCCCTGAAGGACCTGTACAGCACTCGCTGTCTCAAGAGGGCACGCAGCATCCTACGGGACTGTACACACCCAGGACACCGGGTGTTTAAGTTGCTGCCGTCTGGCAGGAGCTTCAGGCTGCTGAGGTCCCGAACAAATAGACTCAAGGACAGCTTTTACAACAGGGCAATAGCCCTGATCAATGCAAATAGCTGACCTGACTGGCTACTTCCCTGGACTTTTTTAGGGGGGAGGTAACAATGTTTAAAACAACAACAATAATAATATTTATATTTATAACAAGGTGCAATAATAATTAATGTGCAATAATAACAATGTGCAACACACATACACTTCTTTTTTTATACTAAGTTAATATACTGTGTTGTGTTGTTTGTGTTGCATTGTGTCATATCATGTCGTGTTGTGTTATATGTAGTGCCGACGTAGGACAGTTTTCCAATTTCATTGTACTACTGTACTATGTATGACTGTGCAATGACAATAAAGACTTATCTTATCTTAATTGTCTTGATTGTTCTCACTTGTCTCTATTGCAGTAAGATAAAGTGTTTGTGTGTCACAGACATGAAGGATGTATACTGCAAAAACGCACTAAAAACCAAGCACACCTAACAGAGAATCACGTCATTGTCCCTCAGTGCTTGTTTATGAGTCACCGTGCTTGCAGGTATAAAGGACTTCATGTGTGAGTTGTGTGGAAAGACTTTCAGTGAGAGGACCACACTAGAGACTCACAAGCTCATCCACACAGGTATTTCACGTCACTGTGTCATCATAAAACCATACTGCTGTGCATTACTCAGTTATATTGATTATTACAAGCCTGTTACAAGCTGAACATGAGACTCTTTCATTTCAATCTACTTTCCTGCTGCATTTAAATCAGAACATTGTAAACAAGAGTGGACCAAAGCCCTTCAAAATGAAGTGAGAGGCTGATAAAGTCACACAGAAAGCAACTTATTACTTATAATCTTCAAATGTAATGCAATGTAGTAATGTAATATCTTATTTTAGTCATAATTTAAAGTGATTTTACCAAAAATAATTTTAGCTCTTAATGTTAACTGTTGTGGTATGAAAATGTAAGTTAGCTCTTATTAGTTGTTGATGAATAGAGGAAAGAGGAACTTTTGTTTGATTCCAAAAACGAGAAGGTTGACTTAAGTTAGCATAAAGGCTAAAAACGTGTGGTTACAGCTAGGCAGTTTGGTCCAAAAGTAAACTTGCCAAAAAGCCCGTGACATGCAGCTGCTGCCAGGGCCTGATGATTTAAGAAGCATGTTGTATCCTTTCATGTAAACGCCTGCTATTTTTGGACTGAGACAAATACTAGCGTAATGTTAGCTACATGGTTAGCTACATGGTTAGCTACAACTAAGCAGTAGTTTCGAGTTCTATTGAGTTCATGTCCGGAGAAACAGTGTAGCCACATTTACCCATAATGAAATTCTTTGGCTCGTGCTCCTCAGCTTTACATGAACATGTAGAAAGTGTGCTGTTATATTAAGAAGGAAATAGCAAAAAATAGCAGTAATAATAATAGGATAAAAGAGAAAAAGAGAGAGAAAAAAATTCTCTAAATATTTAAAAGTTAGGGCAAGTTGGTATTTACATGTTGTGCAAAACTTGTGCAATAAGCATTTAAGTGGCATTTCTTGAAGTGACAGTGTCTAGAGTCCTGTAGTTGTAGTGAGTGTGTAATGGTGCGTGCAGAACGTCAGCAGCTCAAAAGCCTGGTGGCTTGTGGGTAGAAACTGTCTCTGTGTCTGCTAGCGTGGGTCTGAATGCTCCTGAACCGCCTGCCGGATGGCAGGAGTGAGAAAAGTCTGTGGCTGGGATCGGAGAGGATGCGCATAGTCTTCCTCATGCAGCGCTGTCTGTAGAGATCCTGCATGGCTGTGCTGTCCTCACCACCCTCTGCAGAGCTTTGTGGTCCAGAGCATTACAGCTGCCGTACCAGGTGGTGATGCAGCCAGTCAGAATAGTATGAAGCATGAACTATGAAGCAAAGTTACAAACAATTTTTAGGAAAATGTGTCTTCTTTCTTAAACAAAAGTTTAATAAGACAGGGAAGGACTTGGAGATTTAGCAACTGAGATTAATACATTATTGAGCAAAATTGTGATGGAGTAAATCATTTGTTACACTATCAGGTACATTACTTTTGCTCCATAAATTGACCTGAAACTACATTCAATAATTACCAGTTCTGCTGTTCTACACACCAACATATATCCCTATCAAAGTCAGAACACACATGTGATCTTTCATATGTATGAACACAAATCCAACAACACAAAGCAAAGATGGTTTGGAGTGCATTACACACAACATTGAATATGATAGAGTTTAATTTGAGGCTTCATACTAAGTGATGCTGTTGAGCTGACCTCCTGTCCTTCTCTGTTGCTGCAGTGGGTAAGACGTGGACATGTCCCACATGCGATAAGAAATATCTGACAGAGTACATGCTGCAGAAGCACGTCCACCTGACCCATGAAAAGGTAGAGGCCCAGTCGTGTCACCTCTGCGGGACAAAGGTGTCCACTCGCGCTTCTATGAACCGACACCTGCGACGCAAACATCCCGAGGTGAGTGGGGTCAGACCTGAGAGGAAACAACCCATATTACAGCACCCTAAAGGCAGACTCGACCTGAAATGCTGTCCTTCTCCTATATGCCTACAGGTGGTGTCTGTGAGAATCGACGAGTTTGATGAACTTCAGGAAAATTTGTCAAAGGATGATTCATCTATCAGCATTGTGCAGGTTAGAATAAAATTCTGGATTTCTGACACCACAGACCAAAAACGATTCATTGTATTTGGTCTAGACCAGGCCTCCATCCATTGTCTTCAGATGGTCCAAAATGAAGCTGCTCACCTGCTTACTGGTATCAAACGGAGAGAGCGTATAACCCTAGTTTTAGCTTCTTTACACTGGCTTCCTGTCTCTGACAGGATCCAATTTAAACTTTTACTTTTTGTTTTTAAGTCACTTAATGCCCGAGCGCCTTCTTACCTGTCTGAGCTCCTCTCTGTTTATGCTCCAGGAAAAACCATGAGGTCTAGCTCAAAATGAATGCTGTCCATCCCACGGACTTGTCTCCAATCTCGTGGTGATAGAGCCTTCTCTGTGACAGGTCCCAGACTCTGGAATAGTCTCCCCCTAAATATTAGATCTGCACAAACACTTGAGCAATTGAAATCACTACTAAAGACACATTTTATGCCCTGGCTTTTAACACACTATGACCCAAGCATTCTGGTCTTATTTTAAATAGTTTTAGTTATTGTTTTAATTCTTTTATTGTCCTATTATTGTTTTATATTGTTATTATTGTATTACATTGTTGCTTTTTATTGGCATTTTTATATTGTTAAGGACTTTGTGCAGCATCGGCTGTTTGAAATGTGCTACATAAATAGATTTGACCTTGACCTTGACCTTATTGACAAGTGAGGTGGTTTTAGGGAGGTGTAGCTATGGAAACACTGACAAACAACAAGAAACCATATTGGATTAAGTATGTCTGTGGTGTCAGCTGCCTTAAAATCTGCATTTTTCTGTACTCTAAAGATGTTTCACTTCCTTCTGCAGCCCTCTCTGACCATGGAAAAAGACGGGATGTGTCAGAAGCGGCCCAGTCGACCTTCCCGACACCCCAAGAAGAAGCAGAGAAGCTCAGCTGAGCCGGAGCTCTCTGAGTCCGATGAATACGTTGATTTTGCTGAACCAAGGCATTGTCAGTGATGAGACTGAGATGAGCTCTGCTGTACAGAGCATCCAGCAGGTACGTGTGCACATTTCCCCCAGAAGATTCTGTTTTGTTGCTACAATAACGTGTCCAACTTCTTTCCCCCCGAACACCATGATAAGTGGATAAAGGCAGGCGGCCTGATTAAAAAGGAAAACACAGACTGAAGTTTTTCTCCCTGAAGAGCCCTTAAGTCACCCACAGCGGCTGGCTCGACATTGCCGATGAAAGGCTGAATAAATCTGGATTTGCACTTGTTTTGTTGATTATTTGATATGAAGTCATCATTTAATAACTGTGGCAGTTGTCTAATAAAGTTTTTTTGAATGGGCTATAATGTTACATAACCTAATAAATTGCTGACTTTGGTAATTGTTGACCTAGTAGTTATGACTTCATTGGGAATTGTAGGATAAAATGTGGATCTGTTGAGTAAAGCAGGTGTAAAATACACACAGTCAAACCACAAAATGATTACATTTATAATATCAAATTGTTTTCCTACTGTTAAGACAGTGTTATGAAATTACACAAATGCAGTGCAACGCTTGAAGCCACAATTGACAGCTAAGGCTTTGTGATTACAGATGTGCTCAAACACATTAGACCTTTAACAATTTGCATGCATATAGAGCCATACCCCTCCCCCACCTCGGTCAGTCCGACCATCTCTCCCTCCTGCTCTCCCCAGCCTACACCCCCCTCAGGCGCAGTGCCAGGCCCACCACAAAGACTGTTACAACCTGGCCGGAAAATGCTCTCTCCAAACTACAGGACTGCTTCACAGAGACAGACTGGGACATATTTGAACACCAGGACCTAGAAACATTCACAGGATCAGTACTGGACTACATCAAGTTCTGTACTGCAAATGTGACAGTGGACAAAAGCATTCGGGTTTTCCCAAATCAAAAACCCTGGATGACCAGCGAGGTCCGCTCACTCCTCAAAGCCCGTGATGCCGCCTTCAGGTCAGGTGACAGAGCTCTGTACAGGGCTGCTCGAGCTGACCTGAAAAGGGGGATTAAAAAAGCCAAGTCAGACCACAAAAGGAACATCGAGTCCCACCTGTCCAGCAACAACACACGAGAGGTGTGGCAGGGAATGCAAGACATCATCAACCACAGAGGCAGTACTGCGAAAACAGAAAACCCGAGTGGGCAGCTGGCAGAGGAAATAAACAGCTTCTTCGCCCGCTTTGAAACACCACAACAGCAACACTCATCTGCTTCAGCCCTGCTCCCATCCTCATCCTCACCTGGTTCCTGCACCGCTCCACTCACTGTAACAGAGCACGATGTCAGACGTGTGCTCCTAGCAGTGAACCCCAGGAAGGCGGCCGGTCCAGATGGAGTACCTGGCAAGGTACTAAGAGCATGCGCACACCAGCTCACCCTCATCTTCACCAGACTCTTCAACCTCTCACTGGATCAGGCAGCCATCCCATCCTGTCTAAAATCAGCCACAATCATCCCAGTGCCGAAGAAGTCTCCCATCTCCAGCCTGAATGATTACCGCCCTGTGGCCCTCACACCGGTAATCATGAAATGCTTTGAGAGACTAGTCCTTCAGCACATCAAGGATTACCTCCCCCCAGAATTCGACCCCCACCAGTTTGCATACCGTGCAAACAGATCCACAGAAGACGCCATCGCCACAGCCCTCCACGCTGTGCTGAGTCACCTAGAGCAGCGGCAAAGCTACGTCCGAATGCTCTTTGTGGACTACAGCTCAGCCTTTAATACAATCATCCCGGACATCCTCATCACCAAACTGGTCACTCTTGGCCTCCCTCCTCTCACATGTGCCTGGATAAAGGATTTCCTCACAAACCGGCCCCAGACTGTAAGACTCGGCCCTCATCTCTCCTCCACTCGCACACTGAGCACCGGCTCCCCACAGGGCTGTGTGCTGAGCCCCCTCCTGTATTCTCTCTACACCCACGACTGCAGTTCGACCCACAACAACACTCTCATCATCAAGTTTGCTGATGACACCACGGTAGTCGGACTCATCTCGAAGGGAGACGAGGCAGAGTACAGAGAGGAAGTCCTGAAGCTGGCAGCATGGTGTTCAGAAAACAACCTGGCACTGAACACTAAGAAAACCAAAGAGCTCATTGTTGACTTCAGGAGACACAGCACCGACTTGGCCCCCCTCTACATCAACGGGGAGTGTGTGGAGAGGGTCCACACTTTCCGGTTCCTTGGTGTCCTCATCTCTGCTGACATCTCCTGGACAGGAAACATCTCAGCGGTCATAAGCCCAACACTGCACCTAGGTCCTCAGAAACAAGAACGCGCTGATCACCCTTCCTTGAGAGTCCTCAGGAAGTACAAGCTGAACTCCAACCTGCTGCTGACCTTCTACCGCTCGTCCATTGAGAGCCTGCTAACCTACTGCATCACGGTATGGTACGGCAGCTGCACCAAAGCAGATAGAGTGAGGCTTCAGAGTGTGGTCAAGACAGCACAAAAGATCATCGGCTGCCCTCTCCCCTCCCTGATGGACATTTATTCCTCCCGCTGCCTCAGCAGAGCAGCAAACATTATCAAGGACAGCTCCCACCCTGGCTTCAACATGTTCAGCCTGCTTCCCTCAGGGAAGCGCTACAGGTGCATCAACACAAAAACCCACAGACTCAAAAACAGTTTCTTCCCCAAAGCGATAACCACCCTGAACTCACACATGCACAGATAACACAGCCCCCCACTTCCCACTTCCTCTATGGACCACCACTGTGCAATACCAATTCTATGTGCAATAACTCAACTGTATATACATAACACTATTTATTACATATTACTTACGTCTTGTTTATGCCTTGGCGCGTGTGTGTTTTTCCCTGTTAATACTGTCCATATGTACATAGCGCTGCAGAACTGTACCCCCCCAGCATGTTTACACTGAGTAGGAGATGCTCTGTATCTCATTGTACAACTGTATAGTGACAATAAAGGCATTCTATTCTATTTTAATTTAGAATTCCAACTTAAGAAGTATCCTACATATTTTTTCAATATGGACATTGGAGGACAAATCCTGATCAAAATCACTCCAGGATTCCTCACAGTGTTACTGGAGGCCAAGGTAATGCCGTCCAGAGTAAGTATCTGGTTAGATAACATGTCTCTAAGATTTTTAGAGTTTTATCTGCAGCAGGAAATTAGAGGTGATCCAGGTCTTTGTCTTTAACACATACTGCAGTTTACGTCATTGTTGTGTCATCTTCACGGATCGATAACAGGATATTTAATGAGCAGATTTTCAATTCTGTGGACAGAATCGAGATCAGGATGTGGGAGCCAGAATTCTGGCTAGGTTGTAGGTCACTCAGTGAAATGCAACTCAATTTACAGATTTAAGTAATGTAGGTTTTTTTTTTTTTTTTTTTTTTTTTTTTTTTTTTTAATTTTTTGTTGTTGTTGTTGCTTTTTTTCTGGATTTTTGGTTGATACCGTTTCTCTCCTTTAAATTGAAACTACCATAATAATTAGAAACTTGTGATTTCTTTGTAAGTGAGTAAACTAACAAATTCAGCAGGGGATGAGATGATTATTTCCCCCACTGTAAACTTTAATGCAACCAGATGTTTTTTTTTGTTTTTGTTTTTAACCGCAGAAGTCATTCCCTGCTGGCCTTCATAAAGGCGTAAGCTGCACATCCACCCACAGCAAAAGTGGAAAGATCACCAAAGAATTTGCATTCAGTAGCATGAAGAGTCCCTGATGGAGGCCATTGTGATTCCAGCTAGCTAGCGAGCTAACACTTTTATGTCCGATGTTAACGTCACATGTTTCGTGGCATTATTTGGTGTTTATGCATGTTAAATTGTCTTTCCTGTAAGGAACAATCCCCGTTATTATAACCAACACTTCTAAACAATAGTTAGATTTTTTTTTTTTTTTTTTTTTTTTTCCTTGTGAAATTTGGTTAAGCCAATCACAGAGGACCCTTCCCTGCACGATGAGAACAGTCTTCCTACAGGCTCTACTTTGGATTTGTAAACTTTATTTTAATGGAGTCTTTCTAGGGAAGTACTTA